TCCTTTCCTTCTCCTTCTTTCTATGCATAATAAATTTAATAGTTGGAATTTAGTTTAAATTCTAATTTCAATTTCTTTTTTTTTCTTCAATATCCTTTTTCTCCTTCTTCTTCCTCTTCCTTGCCTTTTATTTTTTTTTTTCTTAAAAAAAGTGGAAAAAATTCCCACCGACAAATAATCCATCTTCCTTTTTGTACCATTTCTGTTTTACATTTATTCATTTATTCCATTTTTAGGTTATACATAAAATTATAATTTTGTTTTTTTTTTAAATATAAAAATTTTACTAAAAATTCAATTTAATCTTTTTCTACTTTCATTTTTAAATGAATTCCGATGAATGAATAATGCAATCAATATACAATAACTAAAAAATATATTCATAGAAAGAATAATTATATCAATTAATATTATGTAAGAAGGAAAGGTGAATGTGAATGAATGAATGAATTGGAATAAAAAATTGTGAAGGAATCACTGAAATTATTAATTTATACTTTTTAAATGGAATTAGAATGATAAATATTTCACTATTCGTTTGTAATAATGATAATGATTATATGGAATAGCATTTGTACGAAATCATTCCAGTATTTGACTTTGATATGAAATCATTCCAGTATTTGAGTTTAATATGAAATCATTACAGTATTTGAGTTTAATATGAATCATTACAGTATTTGACTTTGATATGAAATCATTCCAGTATTTGAGGTTTAATATGAAATCATTACAGTATTTTAGTTTAATATGGAATCATTACAGTATTTGAATTTAACATGAAATGAATGTAGTATTAATACAGGATTATTATTGGTTGAAATTTCACATAATAATTGTAAAATATCGTAGCATTAGCTTATAAACTAATCAAAATATAGCTAATTATCACTGTAAAAGATAATCAGCACCATGTGATAGCTAGTTATAATTGCTAATTATTACTATTTACGAAGGTGTTGTCATCAACTATAATAATGAGTTCTCAGAAAATGATTGTCATGTGATAGCTATTCATAAGTGATAAATATTATCAGTTGGATAGCCGTTATCTGATAAAAAGTTGAATTTCCATAATATATTGTGTCAAAAATAAATTTATCATTTTAATTTCATTTTTTGATTTTGAAAAATAAAATGAAACAAAGAGAGAGCGAAAAAAAGTTTTGTTTTCTTTTTATAAAAGTAAAATATTTTATTTGAAAAGAAGTTTTAATAAGAATTAATTTAAAATCTTTAAAATAAAAATATATTTCAGAAATTTGTTTACCCAAAAAAAAAAAATCTCTTTTTTTTTACCTGGAAATTATGAGTGAAAAGGAAGAGTGAGAAAAAAAACAAAAGAAAAAGACAAATAGGGATGAGAAAAAAGGAGGAAAGGGAGAGAAAAGGAGGGGAGAAAGAGAGAGAGAGAGAAAGAGAGGAAGGATGAACAAAATATATGAAAGGTAAAAATGAAGAAATGAATTGATACCAAAGAGTTGTTTGATGGTTGATGTCCAAGGAAAATGCAATGATAGGATGAAAAAGATTGAAAGGAGTAAGTAAATAAGGTTTCATCTTTTCCTCTCTTTTCTCTTTCCCTCTCTCTCTCTCTCTCTTTCTCCTTCTTTCCCTCTCTCTCCATTTCTTATTTCTCTCTTTTCTATTTCATTTCATTCAATTTGCTTATATTGATGGGAAATATGCAGATTTAGTGGGTAATAAGAGAGGGAGGGGGGGGGTTAGGCTGTAGAATAAATTGATCGTTGTAGCCGAACAACAAATGCAGCAGCAGCAACAGCAGCAGCAGCAGCAGTGGCGGTAATGGAACATTGGATTGAGGAGGGATAGTGTCACACTAACGTTTTAAAACAAATGCCCATATATATCAACTAACGGGGTGAAGGGGTAAGGCAAGAAAGAGGGTATTGGTCAAGCAGTGGTCAAGAATGTCAGTCATCTCATACAACTAGTGTGTTATTATCCTTTTGGGAGTAAGGTTGCAGATGTCGTGTTTCAAATTTATTTCCATTTCACTTCAACTGTAACAACTATTTCCAACAAGTGATTTAGTAGTAATATTTGATTGTTAATAAATAGGAATTGAAAAAAGAAATAGGAAATTAAAAAAGAATGATTAGTATCATTTCTAATTATTAATTCCTTCTATTATTTGATTTTATCGTATATTTTAATTTTTGATTTTTGGTTTCTTTTTAAGTTTAAAGTAATATAAAATTATAAAATATGTCTGTTAATATTATTCTTTTTCCTTTTTTTCCTCTCTTCTTTAAATTATGTTAATTTAAAATTTAATTTATTTTTGATTTTATAATTTTAGCATAAGTTTGTTTTATTTTATCGCTATTACTTTATTACTATTTCTTTCTACTAAAATTCCCATTATGCTAAAATCGGTGATTAATTTCATTTTCTTCAGTTATTTCAAATTAGAGAGTGTTACTTAAGAGCTAATATTGTATTCTGCTATTTACAAATTAACAATTCATTATCGAAAATCTTCACCCCTACCCTTAAATCCAGAAAATCTGTATGGATCTGCCGAATATTATTCAAATCCATCAACAGACAGCTTGCATAAGGTCAACAACTTCTTCTAGTTATATTACTATCGCTACTATTATTATAATTATTATTAATTACCAGTATTGTTTGTTAATATCATATAATAATAATAA